AAAGGAAGACACGCCATCTCCTCCTAAGGAAGATACTCCATCGCCATCTCCTCCTAAGGAAGATAGTCCACCACCATCTCCTCCAAAGGAAGATACTCCACCGTCATCTCCTCCTAAGGAAGATACTCCACCACCATCTCCTCCTAAGGAAGATACCCCACCACCATCTCCTCATAAGGAAGATACTCCACCGCTATCTCCTCCTAAGGAAGATACTCCACCGTCATCTCCTCCTAAGGAAGATACGCCACCGCCATATCCTCCCAAGGAAGATACTCCACCGTCATCTCCTCCTAAGGAAGAGCCCAATTTAAACCAAATTTGTTGCTTGAGATATTATTAAAAATAATTAGTAATAATTTGAAACAGTATGGAAAGCACAGTTTTTCACATGAAAGTTAAAATAATATAAAGTCTTACTTGAAATTTGATTTGGCTGCTGGTCAAATGAAATGGTTGTGGATAAATAATAATGTAAAACGATTATGTAAGTTATCCAAGAGGATATTTCTGTACATAAAAGGAATTCAAATTGGGGCTTTACGTTCGTAGAAATGATCAAGAAGTACTCCCCATGATTCTGCTGTGAAATATTGATTATTGGAACATATAAATATTCCTCATCTTTAAAAACCATAAACCACAATTTATTGAGACTCTTCTTTTTATAAAATTAGATATAGGTTGGCAAATAGAAAATTCAATTTTTTATGCAACTGGTGAGTTTCAAGGATTCAATAATACTTTGTTTTTGTTGTGTTATTACTTTTTGAAAACGTGTTTATACTATTGACAAATGTAAATTGTAATGAATTTACTGTACCAAAAATTTGTTAGACAATACATATTTAGACCACAATTTTGTGCTTCCCGCATTTAACACATTTTCAGCAATAGTTAATGGTCTACTTCTCAAATTAACTTGGAAAGTACTGTCCTAATTCAGAATATTTTGTTCCACTATAACAAACATTATGTATATTTTGAACCAAACTTGAAATGAAGATTTACCATATAAGCTAGTTCCTTTTCCTGATATTTTTAATAATAGGGACATTGATTATTTTCCTATCAAGCAGACTAGTATAAGAGACTGTGATTACTGATTCTCATCTAGACCATATGCCAATTGCCATTGATATTGTAGAAATTATATTTTGATGGTTGTATGAGATGTATATAAACAATTAAGCGAGATATAGAGGGTGATACAGTATTTCAATTTGTTAAAACGAAAAAAGAAGCGTCACTTTTGATAAGCAAGGGGAGGATTGGGATGTAACTCAAAAAGCAATTTAGAAAGTAACTTGATAATTATTAACTTATGTAGACGATGGGGAAACTGATATACCCAATCATCTTTTGGATAGGCAAGTAAATTAACCAGGAAAGATGCATCAAGTTCCTTTTTCTTTGATTAGTGAAAGAATAAGGGGTTCAATCATAGTATAGTCAATTATATATAAATTTCCACAATTAGATATTTGAAGACCTTATTCAAATTCATAACAAGCATCACATATTATCTACTCAATTCAACATCTGTTTTCTTTCTAATACAACTGTGCAAATATCAATCGACCATAGCTCTTTAATATTGTGTGATGATCTTAGAATAGGGAGAGACTCTTAAATATATTAAGAAGTTGAGATAAAAGAAAAGAGATTTTAGAAAGTTTATAAGTTACTGGTGATGATGGCTAATGGATTAGCCACTATTCTCTGGGAAAGGCTGGACCCTTTAAAAATTTGATGACACTTTGATATACATGAGGGAAAAGCATATTTTCAATGGTAGATCTTATATTTACTGTTTACATTCATACTGGCAGAAATGAAGATAAGGCCAATTCTCTTATATGTGGTAATGTTGATGAGACAAATAGATGGGATTTGGTTACCTGGAAACTTGTGGTCCAATCAAAACCATTATGGAGGTGGGATTAATCGAAAGGAGGAGTTGGGAGAGTTGTGGATTCTGAAGAGGGCAAAAGCAAATCTTGGTGATGGTTTGAAGAAAACCAATTACCAAGTTGGCAAGGAGGAATCTTGAGGTTTCTTACATTTAAGAAGATAACAATAAACTCTTATTTGATATGAGACAATGATAACAGAAGAGACTAGTGAGGAGCAGATGAGAGAATTGAGGATTGTGACAACAAAGAAGTTTAAAAGAGTAAGAAATTTTAGAATGCGATTTAAGTTATGACCCAATAAAGTAGTAAGTTTCTATATGCTAATTAAATAGAAACTATGTCCCATATGGGGTGCATAGGAGCGGCAGATAGGAGAAGGAAGAGATAACTAGAGTGGAACTTAAGGCAGTGCAAATGATGTTTAGAGATTAGTTAAGTACACCATTTCCATGCCTGTCCCATCAATAGGCTAACTTATTAATGCTATGGTTGTAACAGTGCCTACTAGCATATTTACCTTTCTGTAGTTTTATTTACTTAGAGCACATATTATATTGCTAAAAGACAATTTGGTGTTTGAGAGAGTCCCATGTCATCTCACTCAAATGTGGTGTTATAGATCTTTGCTGTGTGGAAGAGGATCCTTGTCCAGTTTGTTTGGAATTTTTTTGATCTTGTTACTACGTTGATGAAAATTGTTATTTAGCTGACATACTACTGCAGTAACTCTAGATGATCCATTTTTTTCTCTCGAATCAGGCCAGTTTCCTCAGAATTTGTTGTTCATGCAACTTTAACCTTACTGCGCCACATGGAGATGTGAAAATTATCTTCATTGTTATCCAGGTGCTAGTCAAAATGGAACCTAATCTCCCTCTCTTTTGTGTCTATTTGTCTTGAATTGAGAATCTTAACCAAAGGACATTGTTAAATTATGTCTTGTATTCTCACTGTTTCAAATTGCTGCTGCTTCCGTTATTGAGCTTTGAATGTAATAAATGTTCCAACCGGTTTCGGTATTGGCATTGTAAAAGATGTTCTATCATGCTCTGGTTATTCCACTTAAATCTAAAACAAATCTTCTCTTTTACAGTTTTCCAGAATTCTCAAATTAATGGTATCATATTCTTTTGTTGTATAACATAGCATGCTTACAGTTTTGCTGTTCAAACAGATTTAAATTTCTAGTTTTAATTCCATTTACGTTGTCAATACATAGTACCTGACGCACTAAAGTTTGATAACTCCCATCGAGTTTTTGCCTTGTTAATGTCCTAGTCCTATTCACTACCTAATAGTCCTTCATTCACTTTTTTTGTCAATGGTAACAGTTATTCCTTCATTTACGTTCTTGTAAACTATCTCCTGATAGAAGATGAATAATCTTTTGTGGTGAAGACTCTTCTCCTTTTAGATGACTATGTTCTGTTTATGTGTACTCTCCAAAGTAATACAAAGTTTTGCCTACGATGGACTTTATGCTCACACGCATCATGACCTAAACATGTTTCTTCCATGTTAATTTAGTATGCAATCCACTGCTGCACAAATAGGTCATTTGATGAGACTCTGTCTGCTGTAGTATAGAAAATATGGTTGTTGATAGTGCATGTCGTTCGTGTAGGTTTACCATTGGAATCCTTGTGATCCAGAAGTAAGCTTGTTTAAGAAGCACTTACTGTTTTCGGCAGAAAAGAATGTTTGTGGAACATGCTCCAAAAAATTATCTGTTACTTGAGCGCGAGTGTCTTTTGGAAACAGCCTATCTATCTCCATGAGGTAGAGATAACTTCTGCGTACAGTCTACCGACCCGGACCTCACATTTGGGATTGCACTAGGTATATTGTTGTTGTTGTTGCTTCATATATTATTTGATCATCCATTCTAAAGTATCTGGGAAGAGCATTACTAATATAAATTCTTGTTGTATCTTTTTTGTTTTGCGCTTGAATTCGAAGTTCGACACTGGTGTGAAATGAAATTAATATGTCCCTTTCTAAAGACTATTGCCCGCAAAGCATATTGATGCAACAATGCGGTATGGCTTACTTTATTAAGTTTCTTAGCTCTGTTTTGTACTGTTTGCTTCTTTGAGGAGTTACTGTTATGTATATCCTTTCTCTGCTTGCATTTCTTTGTTCCCACTCCTGTTTAAGTAGTCAACTATTTATAGCTATTTGAAAACGTCATCAAGTACAATCCTAGTATATAGGCATACACATCATAAGCATGAAGTGCCAAGAAAGATAAAGATATGTAGAGATACTGTGCCAATGTATTACTTTATTTGTTGTTATCTTACTTTTTAGTAGTTGTGCTAAGGATTACCTCACACTTGTCAAACTTGATGTCATTAACCATTTGAACTGAAGACTTTTTCCTGACATCTCTGGGTTCTATATCATTGCTACCATTAAAAAATTAAAACATAGCTCTGTAAGCACAGCTGCTTCTTCAACACGAGAACTAAAAACTCTTACGAGTCTGGTTTTCACTGCGAATGCAGTTGTAGCCTGCAGCATTTTCCAGTAAGGCGATAGTCAATGATAGGCTAGTGATACCATTGTGCTTACAGATGAAGCATATGAACAAGAAATTACCCCAATTCAGTAGTTCCTGATGTCTCATAGTTCTGTTGCTGTGGCTGGCTAAGCTGGAGATGAACAGGAGCATGAAGGTCCTCATTGATGCTTAAACTGTTCGCAACAAGGGGACTTCTGCTCACTCCATTTGCATCTCTGTTTCCATAAACCTGTAATTTAACACAAGGTAGAAACAATTTGCTAGAGTTCTAAGCAGAATGGTTCCCTCTTTCATTTGACATAAGAAAACAAAAGGAAATAATTCATCTTGAAGCATGTGAAAGCTTTCAGTGATGTACACAGATACCTTCTTACATAATTCGATATTCTCTTGACAAATTAGGTTTACCTTCTTATATAGGTCCATGTTTTCCTGATGAATGAGGTTTCCCTGCAAGGAAAAATATTAATTTAGTATCTTGAGAAGTTATCCTTTTTAGAATAAATTAGTAAGAGTCTCTGCATTTTATGTTGATTGACCTTTCGGTTTAGTTCTTGTATCTCATCAATCAGAATTTCGTCCTGTAGACACGTGAGTTTAGAGTTAGGTTTTACTTAATTCATATAGTGAACATTTGTTGGATCTGGAAATTTCATACCTTTCTTACACGAACACCACGGAGACTGGTTTCCAGTTGGTTCTCCAAGTTCTGCAAATCTTTGACGCTCAGACCAGAAAGTTCCTCACCCATCATTTGTCTATATTGCAGAAATAAACTGTTAAGAAACATCTGATTCCAACAGAGAAATTGACATTTCTGATTTGACTGTATGTGACTTATACATCCTGTTTTTAACAACTGTGACTTCTCGTTTATTATTGTGGAAATCCAATAATAAGCAGACCTCAAATGCTACAAGCTATCTAGTGTCACTTAATTTTTTTCGAGCAAGGTGGTGATAGTTTAATTCATATTTTCATGCACTTTCTGTGGTTGGGTTAGGATGCCTATACTGTTGAAGATATTGAAGGAACATTCCAAAAGGATCCTTGATGAGACACCTTTTGTATCACTACTAGAACAGTCCTCTCTCTTTCTACTGCCCACTGAACATTAAAAAAGAAAACTGGAGTGTGGGTGTTGGGTACAGATAGAGAGCTATAGAATTGAAAGGAAGATAGAAATGAGAGGAAAGAAGAGGAGGTACATTCAATTTTTTTGTTCTTCAAAGGTTTTGAGGGATAAGAAGGGAGAAGCAGAGAAAGGAGAGTTAAGTTCGTTAACAAAATGCTCTGTCAAAAAGAGAGTGCAACGAAGAAAAACAGGACATTTTTTACGGAACTTCTGTAGTGTCAGGATTATGAACAAAATAGCTATCAAGGGAATTAGTGTCAATTAATACACATTTTTCTGTTTCCTCACTCCATCCATTTAAAGACAGAAAAGTTTAAGCCCTCAAATATTATCTTTATCCCCCCCCCCCACCCCCCCCACAACCCCCAAATAATAAAAAGAAATAACACTGTCAATCCAAAAGATCACAACAGCTGAATATTTTAAGTAGTGCAATGGAGGAGATGTTTCATTTTGCCTAGTAACTTTGTTGATGAAATCAACGTATACTAATGATTGGGAGAATTCCTACCTAAAGAAAGAACAACATAAACAAGCCCAATGAAATCCCACGTAAGGTCTAGGGAGGGTAGAGTGTCCTACCTCGTTAGAGCTAGAGAGACTGTGTCCGCTAGACCCTCGGCTTAAAAAAAAGCATTTCCAAGTAGTTTTAAAAAAGAAAATACAGAAACAAGCAGTAATAAATACGAAATAATGTGAATTGGGAGTATTTATGTATTTTCTTAGCATGTATAGTGATCCAAGCAATAGGTCCTATAAAATTCTCCTCCATTCTCTATAATTGTGGACAATTATTATGTTACCATTTCAGAAAATAAAAAAATTGTCGACAACTGTTAATATTTGTTGGTTGAAAGTATTAAAAATGATCAGAAAACTTAACACAATCAACGACTCTACCCTCTCTATTTCAAGACATTGATTCTAGTTTCAATAGCCCCCCCAACCCCCCCACCCCACCCCACACATACAAAACAAAACCCCTCTCCCCTTTTAAATTTGTCGCTTTGATGGGTAGTTTTCAAAAAAAAATGTATAAATTGTTACTTAGATAGGATCTATCCACATTTTCCCGATATCCTCTTAAAAAATGCTCGATATGATTGGTCCTCATTATCCCAAATAATAACATACTTGTTGTGAAACCCAAACCAACTTTCCTGGTAGAGTTGTACAAACATTCTAAAATCTCTAATTCATAGTCCCTCAACATTAAAGTAGATAACACCATTTCCAAGACCTAATACTAAACATCAATTAATAGGGGTTCATGTGAAAACCCCAAGCCTACTTTTACTCTTCACCTTTAATAAGTTTTTTCCAAGTCTTCTCCTTAGCATTGATTACATATTCCAGAATCATTTTTCGAGACTTAATACTAACCATCAATTAATAGGATTTTGTGGTAAAATAGTCATGCTTATTATTGTTTTCTTATTGGGTGTACTAATTCCAAATATGACTAGTAAAAATGAATGAAGGGAGTAATTTTTACTTCAATGTCTTAAAAACTACAATGGATACAAGAGTCCCCGTGTTTGTGCTATAGGTCATTGAATAAGTTATTTGTGGAAGTAAGAAATATATCTAACATAGGACAAGAGAGTTTACCGGTGATTCTCTTGCAAGTTCTGAAGTTGTTGCCTCAGCATTGCCGCTTCCCTTTGCCAAAACTGCTAACAGGAAATTATATTTTAATACATGGTTTTGGATTATCATAGGAGAAACTAAAGGATATTTCTGCATGCTTTGATAAAACTAGCTGTGAAATCAATAGGAAACCAAGCCTGGATGTTATGGGTTTTACTTAGATTTAAATTGACCGCCTCCCTCCTTGTGGTCCGGGAATTAGATCCATATGCACCCTTAATTGTGTAACTTCAATTTAGAGTTACTTCCTCGTTTTCATATTTGTTGCTTCGTACAATTAACAATTTTGTTCAACAACATGCTATCAGGGATAAAATTATAAGCTATTGGTTTGTGGAGGCCTTGAAGTTGATGGTCATAAACTATGATGTCTCGTACAGTAAGGAGTAATTAAATTTGATGTTCTGTTAGTGAATAATTGCAGTTGTACATAAAAAAAATTACAGTTGCGTCATAGTTGCCCCGCTTGGAGATTGTAAAGCAGCTCTACACGAGATTTTCTGTTCCTGGATTTGTGTACCATTGAAAGAGTGTGCTATGAGCATGAGTGCAATACGTCATGATGGCAGTATTAACCCCTGAGCAGAATTCTTTCTTATGTCTTAAATTAGGTTGGTCTATCCAGTCTTATTATTAAAAGGAGTCATGTGCTGCTTCCATGATCAATCTACCAGGAATTATCTTCCAACACCATATCCAAAAGCTCCAAGCTGTACCTAAATTTATATGTGAGCATAGGAATGAACTAGGTGTAGGTTAACACCAGCTGTCATCTTGGTAGATATTTGACAAGAGATAGTGTGCCCTAGCTGACGATTTTCAATAAATGGGCTTCACCGGAAATAAATCATTACTACCTCTACCACAAATTGAATCTCTCCTTGTTGAATTGGCGTGACTCAAATAAGATTCAGAAGATTTTATTTAAGATTTTGACACTAGCTAGAAGGCTGGGGGATAAGCAACCTTTGAAGTCCTTCTTACTAGAACTTTGCCCACAATAGAACTTTTACACTATAAAGGTAATTTTTAAAAAATGGCCAAATTTTCATGTACAGCAGGGATTAGGCAGACTACTAAATCCTTGAAGTTGATAATGGTGATCGTCAGTAAAAAGGTAGCACAAGGTTTTGTTTTTCCAATCATAACCCTCTCAAGAGCATGAAAACCCTTTCTTTTATTGCTCTTGCAGAAAATCAGGCTGTATCTGTGTAGAATCTCTTTTCGCATAAATATGCAGGTAGGGATGTATGAAAATTGTTTAGCTGAAGATATAAAATGCTTCAAAGTAATTGTAAAGTGTGAACCATAAGACAGTTCTATCCTGGGCTATATTGTGATTGATTTAAAGCCATAGTCCCTGATCTATTCTTTTATGTGACCTCTCCAGTAAAATCTTGAAAGGTGAAGTTTTGGTACATTTTCAATGGGTAACATTTCATCCCAGATCAGTAATAATGGAATACAAGCTCCTGTTCTCTGACAATGTATTGGATTGCCCATAGTTTATAAGACACTAGTTTGGATGAAATGTTTCTAGTTTCTCGTAAAGCATCTTCCTTCCATCTTAACTATAAGTTTTCAAACTTTAGCCTCCATTTCAGCATCTTCAGCTGTACAGCTAACTGTTAAATATGAGAATCTTTTGCTTCTTGCAGGATTCTCTTTTGTCTCTTCACTTTTGTCCCTATTACCCTGCTTCCGTCTCCTAATTCTATTTTCCTTGGGAACACAGTTTGACCTTTCCAGTAAAGTTGGTACTAATATGAAACCTTTAATGAACTTCATTCTGAGTCTCATAAAGATCATTCCTCACTTATTCTATTTTCAGTTTGACCCAACATATGGCTAGACCGACCATTGGGACAGACAAGTGTTGAGTATGGCAGAAAGGCAGGGCAATGAGGAATCGTTGTACCAAATTCAAGCCAAGTAAGTGAAGGTGGATAAGTTATCCGATTTGACAAGAGATGAGAATTCATTTTTCTTTTTCCACTTTTCTGGTGAGAACAAAAGCAACTTGCTTTAATGTGCAATTTTAGTTTTCCTGAACTGTCAAAATAGCAATCTGAGTGGTAAGATACAAACTTAGGACCAGGCTCATGCAATCTAACCAGATACATAGAAACTTAGAAATGATAAAACTGGAGGTCTTACATGGTATCTAAATAGAATTTATTAAATCGGAATAGTGTAAATTCACAGATATATTATCATATTCATTTTGACTCTTTCTAGCGTTTTGTTGTTTTCCTTTGTAGTAAATATTTTATTACCATTCAGCTACCCATATAACCAGTCAACTTGTAGTCATGTTGATGAAACTAAGTCTTTGACTTGACTAGTCACTAGCCCTCTTATTATAAGACTCTCCACCCTATGACCGACATTCCAATAACAACAGCAGTATATCCAATGTAGTCGCGCGAAGTGGGATCTGGGGAGGGTAAAGTGTACACAGCCCCGACCTCTACCTCAAAGCCCAGAGGTAGAACGTCTGTTTCCAAAATTCTATTCCCCTTGATCATAGGTGTTAACATCTTTTATATCCTTTTCACAAAGTCGTATACACAAAAGTACACCATAATCCATGTATGTTGTATAAAGAGGACATAGTAAGTAACTCTAACTAAGCTTTTATTGTTAGAAAAACACTAAGACCCTTAGGAGTTTCTATGGACTAAAGAACCATAATCGTTGGGGATTTCAATTTTGACAGAGTAATTAATAGTTCTCTAGACTATAGTATGAACCTTTAGAATATTTCCCAGTAAAAATTATCTTCATAACACTTTGGGACTTCATATAAACTCCTTGTATCTTGGATAGGAGTTGAGTCAAACTTCCGTTACATGTTTAGTGCTTGATTGTTGCTGTTTCTATGAATAAATTCTGCTCATCAAAAACAATGTTAGGATTACATGCCACCTTGCACTGTACTAGAACTCACCAGAATAATTGCCAGTCATCTGAAATGAGTTGCTGGAATAGTGACATTCGCCGTAAAAGGTCTTATTCTTTCTAACAGACTGTTGTTGATGTATCCAAAAAAGTGTCCTTACAGCCCATCGGAATATGTTTTTTTAATTTAGGGAGAAGTGACTCTAGGATATCATGTAGGGTTGAATTTACTGTTGAAAAAGTAACTAAAATTATCAGGGCAATTACTGGAAAAGCCAGAGATAAGTGACCGGCGTAGATGGTTGCCTGAAATACATCAGTGTGGTGAGTCAAATGTTTCTGGAAAGAGCTGTGGCTCCTGAAAAAGCAGCCTAAATGATTGCTGGGAGTAAGAAAGGTACTTTCTAGAATGATTAATCAGAAAGAGATGAGTAATAAAATCACCAAAGACATATTCACTTAGGTATCTACTAATTTTCTAGAAGCCTAGTACGCCCAATAAGTAGGAGAGAAGATGAAAAGAAATTCTTGTTGGCACTGGTTGGTAATATCAAGAGGGCTGCTAGTACGAGGGAAGTTTTTTTGATTCTATGGTTTCCTATATTTATCATATAATCACTAAGAATATTTTTCGAATATTTTCCATATAATATATAATGATCCTCTTAACTTTCATCTATAATATAATTACTTATAATATTCTCTACCATTTAATATTCTGTTAACTTTGAACAGAATTTTTACTTATTATAGTAGTGTCTGGATCAATTTGATCGCACCTTGACTATCTCACGAAAAGCTTGCTGCAGCCTACTTTGCAGATGTCCAGAAATCAGCTCACCATGTTGAGTAGATATGCACATATTACGTGTTATAGAAGGCCTTGAACCTGAGATTTTAGGTTGTTAATTCTGTACCTTAATTACTCAACAAGTCCCTTGGTATTTCCTAGATTATGTCCAACTACATGAAGTAATTATGATAGAAAGCTTAGCTATGCATATTTTTCTTTGACTAGTTGACTGCAAATTAACCAGTGAAACTTACCCTAACCTCAGAAGTTGGAGTTTCCAATTGATGATTCTCCTCCTTTGTTTTGTTGTATCTTTCAATCACCGACTTCATGCTGTCAAAGTAAATATATTCAGAATTGTCTTTATTATCTTCTTATAAGAAAGGACACAAATAGAACAAGACAGGTAATATCTTTTGCAGCCTCTTATTAACCTGATGACTGCAATTCTGGTATTTGATTTCTTTTTCTGTGTTTGTCAGTTGATTGAACTTGGGAGTGATAGCGCACAAAACCTTTACAAAGTGAATGGTACTGTCTTTAAGGTATGGCACTGAAGTCTGTTTTGCTCCTTTTACTCTACTTTCATGTACCAATCACCAAGGTATGAATTGACTCATTAGTTGTGGATTTGTGACTGTTGCCTTCATGCTTAATATTAAAGCAAAACAAGAGAGATATGGCGAACATGCTCTAATGAATATATCTAAGTGTGTTATCTTCATCTCACGCTATTTCTGTAGGCATTGTCTATGTTGCTTCCAAATCTATACTAGTTACTGAATGTTGAAACATACAACCTGACTTCAGACAGAATAAGAAGGGGATATTTCAGGATGAAAACTCAACTGCATGTAGCCATGTATTATGGTCTAATGTTCAAGTTTTCCCTTATTAAATTTATTGTTTATCCAAACTCCATTCTGTTAACCCGTCTTAGTTTTCAAAATAAGATTCCTAGGAGTACCTTCAACCCACCCACCCCACTAAAAAAAATGAAAAAGAAGAGAATTTTTTAAACACAACTAGTATAACATAAATGCGTGCTAGAGAAAAGATGCATAACGCTTACTGTGAGTTAAAGGAACTAGCAGTTGGTGGTTGGGGTAAATAAGGTTAGTATTGGGATCTGATTATTGAATATGATAAAAATCAACAATGACAAGCAAACAATAGCAAGTTAATAGCCATCAGTAGGTAATGACTAAATGAGAGTGCTTCATGAGATGATGATAGAGCAGGTATGTGTAGGCAAGAATGGACATGCTGGCAATTAAGATTCCTATGCACGAAACGGTTGGAGCAGCAAATTTCTTGGGTGATTTGCTATTTTAAACTTCTCTCTGTCCAACCGTAGGACAGTATTGGATTACCCCTGTTTTGGGATGTCGGGTGCATCCAATAATTTATTTTTGTGAAAGCTCCCTAAGTGGCTATTTATGTTTATAAATGATAATATTAATAATATTAGAAGTTATCTAACAAGTCTAAAACTTATTCTCAACTAGTAGCTTATCACCTCTATAGAACTTTTTCTTCTATTATGGCTAATCGCGTCTGCATTGACACCATGCATTTAGCGACCCAACCTTTAACTACCATATAACATTGTAGGTCTTACAGTTTTATATACTTTTTAACTTCCAATTTGGTAGGCATCCTTCTATCACATGTCACTTGATAGCACTTCTTCATTTCAACCATCTGATTTTGATATGAGTAACACCTTGTAATTTCATTCTTTTACTTCTTATCCCAAAACCCTTACTTTCTAAAGCTCTTCTCCATAAGTCAAGTTTGGTTGACACCCTTGCTAGATTTGTCAATTGACACAAATTATTAGCAGATAGCATGCATTATGGGACTTCATCTTGTATTGTATTTCTTATCTTGTCTAGACTAGGGTAAACACCTTGGGGCTCATTCTCCTTGGTGTAAACTCATTGTTGTGGGAAACAATTCCCACGAGTATTTTCGCGCTAGTGAAAGATCCCACACATCCTTTGGGGCATAACTTCTGGTACTATAAGCTGCTAGCTAGAGACTCAAAAAAGTGTTGGACAAACTGATAAGACACTCATCTAATGACTTTAAATTAAGGATGATTGATGCTTTAATAAGGAACTTTATATGGCGAGGAAATAAAGATGAGAGATGTTTTAATCTAGTGAATGGAACACACCTATCCTTAAAAATGGAAGGGAGCTTGGAGATAAGAAACTTAAAAGCGATCATAAATTAAGTTTACTTATGAAATGATTATGGAGGTATGATCTAGGAGAACAAACTCTATGAATAAGGATCATCAACGTGAAGTATGAATATGGAACATATGTGCATGGAGTACAGTCATAGGTATATGACCTTTTTAAAGCAGAAGTTCGTATTAAAGTGGGGGGTGGAAGAAGAACATCATGCAAATAATTCAAACGTTGTTTAGAAGTTTAAGTTTTAGAATCCTTGTAGGAAGAATCAAGGATACACTTTTTTTTTTCAAATCGTAAATATGGCATCCAGCACTACCTTCATACTGAAGTTTATAATATTTGATACCTTCCTCTATAAAAGTTGGTGCAAATATATAATCAAATGAACAAAAGGTTTTTGTTGCCTATCATCCATAAAAGAGTCTATGCTCCCAAGTATCTCTCTTACATTGTTCCTCCGTGAAAATAACTGACATTGTTCATGGTTGCAGGTCATTGCTGAACCAACTAAGTGAGCCTTTGATTGAACGCAACTACAAGAAACAAAATGATGTGTGGATCAACTTGCAAAACAATATGGATAGAGGATGCATGATAATATAAACACATTTTACTGTTTCTCCTTTGTTTGTCTTAGCTTTCAAGGCACAGAAGCTAGTAATTACTTTCTATCGAAGCACTATGGTTTGCTATGAAGTTTAATCACAGTCTCTGTAGTAGCACTTCTTATTTTTTACTGGGCTCAAAAAAACATTAATACACATGCGGTTTTGAACATGTCTAAAAATGTATGTGATACAAAATATGCCAATAAGGGTACAAAATAATAAGTTAATAACATTAATCCAAATGTAGAATTGAGTCGGGTTATTTTCTAACAAACAATAGCGAAAATTGATACACAAAATCAAAAAAAGAAACAATAGTGTTCAACGAAGTGTCTAGTCTTGGGTTTTTGTCCAAATATACGGTTTTGAATTTTATTTCCGCTTGATAAGGTATTTTTACGACTAAACTTGAAAATAATTGCTGGAATTAATTTATGTTGGTCATTAGGCATTAGTTCAAATGTAGGACTAGTGGTCAATTGAACAAGTTCTGCCCATTACTTCAACGGTTATTCACATATTGCATGTTTATTAGCAAAAGATAGAGCTTATATTGATGGGCAATGTGCCCAAGTTTCAAATTTTATCTAATGTATATCTATCGACCAAGTTCACTATAGTAAATGTATGAATTTATGTTTTGTGGGTACCATATCCAAGTACCAACTTTTGCTTATAAAACAACTTTTGGTCTATTGAACACCTTCACTATCTTGATATGTTATGAAGATATGTTATGAACGTACTAAATTTTTATAGGCAAAAATTTTGATCAATAATGTCTTAAAATTTCCTAACTTGTGCCGTAAAGTTAGATTTTCTGAAATGGAGGCTATTCTTAAAAAAAAATTGTTCAACGGTGCTAAAGAAATCAAGACCACCTATAGAAGCCATTTTTGTATGAATTTTTTTGTGGGGATAGAAATATCAAGATCAACCCATCTTAGGTGCAATTTTTTAACTTGACCCGATTATTTGAATTGTTTTGGTATAACCACCGAACGCGATAAGTAGCCCTTTTTGTTCATGAGTGCCAACAAATAATATATAGATATAGAGAGAGATCACTAGCTCAAATCCCCATTTTTAGGTTATAATCCATCATTGATGAGTGAAATAAGCTCTCATAAAATTACCAAAAAAAGAAAAATATTAAAAATAAAAATAGTAAAGATATCTTAATCTTATTTTTGTCATTTTGTCCGCTACTAACGTCACTCCCGCCTTACCTTTTATATCTTTGTTCCTAATCTTATCTCCTAGCTAGTATGTCTCCACATGCTAAGCCTCCTTATTTCTACTTATCTCTGAATATGTAAGTTTTTGACAGGTCAATGCTCTGTCTCATACAACATAATTGATCTAACAATTTTGTAGAACTTACCTTTAAATCTTGGTGGCATATTCTTATCACATAAGACATCAGATGCGAGCCTTTATTTCATCTACACCTCTTCAATACGCATGCATCGTTGTCTATCTCCCCACTTCCTTGAATTACTGACCTAAGATACTTAAAATTTTCTCTCTTAGTGATGACTTGTAAATCATTCTCACTTCTTTCATGTTTGACTCATATGTTATGTCACTGAACTTGCACCGAAAGTGTTTGTCCTACTAAACCTAAAATTGTAAGTCTCTAGGATTTTAGAACTCCGATCTAGTGTTAACTCTGACATATGTTATGTCATGTCAATTAATACTATGTCATTTACAAATAATATATATCACGGTAGATCCTCCTAAATATTTTGTGTCAGTTTTCCATCACAAAGACAAATAAAAATAAGTTATGAGTTAATGTTCTTGATGAAATCGCATTAGGACTAGGGAGTATTCGGGGTCTCCTCCTATATGTCCTCAGTCGCTCTGATGTATGCCACATGTACATTTTAAGACTCCAAGTATCTCCAAATAACCTCCCTTGGGACTTTGTGATGTGCCTCTTTTTAATCAATAAAACACATCTGTGTTTTCATTTCTATCATCCTCTCACAAACTTTCGTTAGTGTTACTTAGTAATTTGATATCTCGGTAATTATTGCAATTTTAAATATCATGTTTGTTCGTATACTTGACAAAATCATTGATGAAATGTATGCGTCCACTACTTATAATAGGACTAGGTCCTTTAGCACTATTACGATGCACAATAGTAAATACATAAAGTAAAGAGAACGCACGATACTTTACGTGGAAACCTTCTTTCTCGGGGAGTAAAATCACGACCTGTCTCACGTGATTTCCAACTGTTTTCACTAATCTTCTCAAGCAAAAGTGAAATACAGATTACAACCACACAATGAGATTAACCTCCTAAGCTCAACGCTAAGTAATACAACCTATTACTTACTGAGACTAAGCAATGCATCCATTGCCCACTATACTAACCTCACTGATTAATATACACTTTTGACCGTAAGACACAAAGTTAACCTTAACAATTTTTTTACAATGACTCACACAAAGTTTTAAACCGTTTCTAACAAAAGTAAAACGAATCCTACAACTTAAGCAAAGATACAAGCAATCAAAATAACAACGGATTCAGGAAGAAATTCTTCAGTCGATAAGGTCCCTTGTTGTTTCGTTTGAAGCTTGATTTTTTTTTTGAATGAATAGTCTTGTTAATTGTTTGTCATAGTGAACATATTATTCCAAGAAGAATTATTGACCATTAGACAAATAATCTCGTCCATTCCTATTAGTTAAGTATGCTGATAACTTCACCAACCACTGACAAGATAGCATTTCAGTTATACAACATCTTGCGCTGGATGAGAACACTCTGCAAAGGACCGGGTCCCTGCATTCTGAGGATCGTTCGAAAACCTATCAATCATTTTACTCCATCTCAATTCATTTAGCATGTAAGAAGTTTTTTCATCTCCCTCAAGACAAGTAGTTCTTATAAGAAATGTTGGAAAATGGGGTTGGAGAAACACTCGCAATCACTCAAATTTTTTTCTTGAACGAACAATCTTTTTTTTCTTTGCTTCATCACTTCGATTCTTTACTTTTTTTTATTTGATGGTAGAAAATGGGGAATATTTTCTTCCACCGACTTGACTTACATTTTAGCTTATCATAGCTAATTATTTATAGGAATTGTTTTAACATGTAACTATTCAAGTACATGTATCATGACTAGTTCTAAGTTTTTCTTGTTCCCTAAATCATGAATAAAAGCACACATGTATCTTAACATTGATTTCCTAATACATGAAATAAGCAAATTCATGTAGCTGGGATAAATCTAATTTACTTTTTTTAACAAATATTGTCTTCGATTCTTAACCTCCAACATCTCATAGCTGAAAATAAGGAGTGATTATCTTAAAACCAATTCGCCCTACCCCACCCCCCACCTCTCTCTTCCTCATAAGGATAACACGTTTAATCTCATGAGCTCAATGATATTGCTTTCATTCATACCGCAAAAGAAATTAGAAAAGCAAGTTTCTATCTTAATGAGCACGGTAATTAAAGGGGTGATGGCAACTAGCAAGTAAAGTGTCTCGAAGCGTAAAATATGCTGAATGATGATTGCTTTTTCCCCGTGACAGCAGCTTACCTTGCCAGTCACCAGCCTTGTTCAAAGCTTTGATTTCCATTTCAGTAATATAGACCACATTCTTCCTACATTGTAACAGACCATGTCCTCAGTCTTCTTATACTTCTTCTATCTTCGTAGTCATATGTATCGAAATTAGTCTGCTATATGTTAATTTCTTGCCATGAAATATCTTGATTATCTTTAAGCACCTTCATGACCATCTTGACTGACCTCTTATCCCTAGGATTGCATAAAATTAGATCAACAGCACAATAAAAATGGTTAATTCTTGATCCCTAACTGCTTATAGTAGAACAAGCCATTACAACTGCTCTTGTTATTAAGTTGATTAAGGCTTTATTAAGGGCTTCTGCAGCTATGATAAAGAAAACAGTAGATAAAGAGTCTCCTTATTTAACTCCCCAAGGGAAGTTAAAGAAGTCATCTGTTGTACCATTTATGATGACTAAATAAGATTTTCTTGACAACAACTTGAAGATTATAATCAACAACAGCTAATAAGGAAGGTCCAGGAGAGCCTGTGACAATAATACCTCCTTTATTGTGTTCCTTTCCATCTACGATTTCTTGGGTTAATAAGACATTTCTAACTATTAATCTTCCCCTTACAAACCCAACATGATTCTCAGAGATGAGCTTGCATAAAATGGGGATCATTTTGATAAATATAATCTTTGAAATAAATCGTATTGGTCACATTACACAAAATAATTGGTTTCGATTGTGAGATGGGAGAGCTTATTCTAGGGAGATTGATAAATCTACCCAGACATGGACTATTGAATATAGAAGTGCCATTGGTCACCTATATATACCTCAATGTGCCTTATAATAATATCATCAAAGGCCCGTGATATATTCCAGCATGCATCTCATTAACTTCTGTCTACCAAAAACTCTTGTTGTTTAAATAACTGCCCACCCATTAGGAGTAGTTAAGGATGTGAACGAAAAGAAGCCAAATAATTATACACATTGTATGATGAGTATGCATCTCTACTGCATAAGCTACTGCTAGCCCTTACGTTCATCTGGTGCTGGTCTTTAAGCACACTTCAATGAAACTCGGCCAATGCGCTTCTGTGCATAGATACTTATCTACTAGATTAACAATGAGAACCTCTCTTGTTCTGTTCGTTATTTCATGAAAACTTTCTAGCATTCATCATTCTAGTGGGGGTGCATACAAACTATATGCTCAATGTATTACACTAAATCGAAGTTTCGCCAAGTCCAGCTAACCTCAAATCATACATCAAAAATGTCATGGACAGAACCCCAAGCAATTAGCCATTAAAAATCAGTAAGAAAGTTCAATAACAATAGTACTTTCTCAATGTACTACTGACATAACTAACACCAGCTAGCCTCATTCTATACATTCACTTAAGATTAACTCACTATTTACACATTTTCTCACCCAGTCAGCTTATACAACACAGGAACTAAACAAACTGAGCGACATTATAACAAACAGAAAGCGTGCAATAAAATGAAGCACAATTTCGAGCGAAAAAGAGTAAACAAACCATTACGACTCTCACATATATGAGCTCATTCTACTTTAGTAGATTTGAACTTCACTAGCTAGAAGAATTTATTTTACACTATATTAGCATCTATATAACCACATTATCCGAGTCAAACTTACATATAAGATGCAAAATTGAACTATTCAGCACACAGATCTCGTTAATCCAGACGAAACTAAAACTTCTCAAAATTTCATAAATTAATAATCTATAGATACAAAAAAAAAGAACTCGTAAATAGCGAAAATCACCTGGTGTTTGAATATTCATAGAGTTTTCCAGTACTGGAGAAGATAATAACTCCGGCCTCCGCATCGCACAGAATCGCTAGCTCCTTCGCCTTCTTCAACAATCCATTTCTCCTCTTCGAGAACGTCACTTGCCTGCTCGTCGAATTATCGATCCTCCTTATCACTATCTTACCTCTCCCCATCGCCGATCTCTCTCACACACACACACTCACTCTCTCTCTCTCTCTCTACTTCCTCTCTCTACAAAATACACAAAATTAGCTACCTACAATTCCACACAACAACTGCGTGCACATATTCAATTTCTCAAATATGCGAAAACAAAAAACAAAAAAGAAATTGTATGCTTACACTTACCAGAGAAATTTCATTCACGAGAAGAAGCAGAAGAACAAATCAATGGAGGAATTTTTCGATCGAGAGAGAGAGAGGCAAAAAAGTTGCTGTTGATGGAGAAGACAAAAGAAGACTTCGCAATCGTCGTTTTGGGTTCAGTTTTTTTCTGATTAAATTTGGCTATATAAGGAAAGTGTGTGTATATATGAAAAAAGGCGAAACGCGTTGGGTATGGGGTAGGGGGGTTAAAGGGGGTGGGGGTATTAGGGCGTTTCAAAAAAAACCGCTATTCTACCTCGGGTTTATAAAAAACCAATAGTGGTTTTGTGTGCTCGTGACACGTGGAAGATATTTATTTGTCAGATGATTTAATATAAGGTCAGATTCGTATGAAAAGTTTCGTCATTCGTATAGATTGCTGACGCGTGGCTGTCTCTGAATTTTAATATGAACTTCCCACTTATGGAAATAACTTTTTTCGAACTGGAGATTACATACTGACGGATTTGCCCTTTCTGCATTTGGGTCACTAATTTGGAATAACTACTGCATCCGTGATTCAATTTATGAGACTTACTTTTTTATTTAATTTATTTTAAAAAGATAACGTATTTTGTACAATTTAATTATATAATTTGTATTTTATTTTTAATAAAATAATTTATGATCATACAAATTTTGATTATTTATTTTGAATAAAAAATTTAAATGAGTCAGAGAGATTATTACTTTCTCAATCATTTTTAACTGTCATGATTACTTTTTATAGAGTGAACGATAAGTATTTTGACTAATATTTTACGATGTATTATTTTATTATATTAAAATACAGAAAAAAGTTATAATTTATAGTACGTATAATTTCTTAATATTTAATTTTTTATATAAAATATCAAATTAATTTAATTTAATTTTACTTTTAAAAATTGAAAAGTGCAAAAAAAAAAAAACAGTTAAGAGTGCCCGAGGGAGTAATTTTAAAATAAAAACTCCATTAATTGTCGGTACTTCTTTATCTTAGCTAATTTCTATTTTGAGTGTGTAGTGTAGATCAAAGTCGATTAATAAGGGTCCGCTAGGACTCACTTATTTTATTTGAACTCTGTAATAAATAAAGGCGTGTGTTGAATTAAAGTAGATATCAAGTATCGAATATCGAAATTTCTATCTAGTAAATTAATTTTCGGCATAATGAATTAAATTTTGGTTTGATTATTTCGTATTAAGGAAAAACATAGTTTGACATGATATGTTTATAATTTGACTGATCATTTTACATGTTAGCTCTTATAGAAGTTATCTATCGAGGTTAAATGTTCACTCACAAGCTCAAACACTATGAATTTGTTGTCATAGGTCAATCACGATGACATTCAAATGACTGATAGATTTTTAAGCTAGTAAACTTACGGAAAAAGAGCGCATACTTAGGCAAATCCCAATAAAAAAGATTGGGAAAATTCAAGTGTTATAAGTAAAAATATGTTACACAAGTTCACACAGTGCACTAAAAAGAAACTCGTGGTAATGTCTATTTTGAATTTACAAACATATCATAAATTTATCTCTTAGGATATGCTGTCTTTAAGTTCAAAAAGGTGCAAAAGATATGAACTTGTGTTTTGTCTCATTTAGAACTTGACATTTTCATCATCTTATGATTTGAAATTTGTTTATGGTACCATATGCACTTCAAGATATTAAGTCGGACTACTCACAAATCTTGGCTAGAACAATGTTAATATTTAAAAAGTTAGATTTACGAGTTCATTGCGCTTATAACAATTTCACTAAAACTCAATAATTTTTGCTAAAATACATTCACAAGCATTTATAAATGTCATTTTATTATGAACCTTTTTATGTTGTAAATCAAGGGTGGGGCTGCAGGGGCGTAGATAGGTGAGGCACGTGGGTTCGTCCGAACCCAACAACTTTTCTGTAGACCCTATATTTAAATTAGAAAATTTTGTAATAACGAGTGAACTCTTAACAGAACTGATTGAAAGCTCAATAATAAGGATGACGAACGAAATTTATAACCTTTAAACTCCTAATACTGATTCCACCTCTGAGCGGGAATACTGATTTTTTTGGTTGCTTAACCAAAATGTGGGAGCTCTCGTGCCAACTGTCCCACTTGTATTCTGCAGTACTCTCCTTGTATTGTAATGCCTTCTACTTTTAGATTTCAACTTACCAAATAAGGAAGTCTTGCTCTGCAACTTCTAATTTCAATGGTAAATGTTCTTTATTTTGTCTACCTCTCTATTTCTATATCTCATACCCAAAGTGGAATTGAATAAAAAAGATAAATTAAGAGGCAAAAACATGTAGTGGATACATATAATATTCGATCCTTTCGTACAACCAACATAGAAACGTGTTATGTGAAAATAAAATATATATGTCGTCAAAAATAATGTCATTTTATATGATATTGAAGTTTGATAAAATAATGTCAACTTGCAAATAATTTCATTAGTTATGGAAGTAAAAAATTGGCACTAATATCATTTATGTGATTAACGAGGTTTAGAGATCAGAATTTCACGTGAAAGTCATTTTTTTCATAGTTTTAATTATTGAAAATTACTTTTTCCAATCAATTTGTCAAAATAAATATATATTTTTAAAATTTAATTGTACTTCTAAAAAACGCTTACACGAGCTGAGGACCAAGTATTTGTTTCAACGCGTCTTTAATTTCAAAATCATTTTTAATAACCTTTTCTTCTTCTTAATTAAGATACCAATTAGAAATATGAAGTAATTATTATTATGATATATATATATATATATAGAAATAGTTTTGTATATCATCCCTAAAGCTGCAAATTTATTGATGTTGATTGATTCAACAAAGTCATTTTCTCCACTTTTGCTGATTTGCTAACTTACTAGCCATGTTGATTTCTTTTTTACTCCATTAATTTCAACATATTCACATAAAATGAAAGCAAAGAAAAGTTCAAATGATTGAAAAATAATTAATTTCTACTCATCTACAAAGCACTAAATAATATGTTAATTTTTTTTTAATGAAAAACATTTCCTAGACCATGGAGCGAATGAGCCAAATCAATTCAAGAGGGCTCTAGAAACGTTAATAACAAATATAACAAGCTTTGTTCATATAATTAATAAATAAAAGCGCGAGTTCATTTAACTTTCGAGTAAATGTTAATGTTAATTACGTAGATAAAAATATCATCTTTGACCATTTTATCTATTTCACTTATTTGGGATCTTACCGAGCCTATTCATGTACAACATGATTTAGATAATAGAAAAGATTCTCTTTTAAGCAAATCAGCGTATCCTATAAGGTTTAATTAAGGTTGATGATAAAGTCAATAAAATATTATTACATCTTTGCGTAGTCTCGATCCGTCCAATATGCAAATAAAATTTCCCGAGGTATACGAAGGTTGAATAAGATTTTTTATTTATTTTTTCTTCTTTGCATTCCAATTTTCAGCATGTGGATGTTACGTTCATACTTTTCAAACATTATGTAATCGAACTGCATTAAGTGTGTGTTTGGTATGAAGAAAAATATTTTTTGAAAAATATGTTTCGATTTTCTTATGTTTAGTTTGGACAAAAGTTTTGGAAATGTTTTTCAAATTAACTCATTTTCTTCAAAATTAAGGAAAATGACTTCCTTTTAAAAATTAAGGAAAACATTTTCCAAAACTCTCCTCCAACTTTAAATTACATTTTTTTTAAAAAAATAATAAATTCAATTTTAGAATTTTATTTTTTTTACCCCACCACCGGCCAGCCCCCCCTCCCAAACCCCACGCCTTCCCAAAAAAAATAATTTTACTTTTTAAAAATATTTTCAACTCAAATTTTTTTTTTTTAATTCCTACCCCCCCTCCCTCCAACCCCCCCCCCCCCCCCCCCCCCAAAAAAATAATTTTATTTTTTAAAAATAATATAAAATTTAAATTTTTATTTTTTCACTTCTACCCCCTCCCCCACCCCCCACAACCACAAACACCCCAAATAAAAATTATTTTTAAAAAATATTTTCAATTTCATAAATTATTTTTTACTCTAGTCAAAATAAAAGATGTCTCTCAAAAACATTTTTCATTCATAAATCAAACACTAAAAATCATTTTCAGAAAATATTTTTTACTCACCAACCAAACATGAGAAAATAAGTCTAAAATCTACTTGTTTTCTAGGAAAACATTTTCCTTTCATACCAAACACACCCTATATGTATGCTTGTTTTATGATTTATGCATGAGCGTATTAAAGTGCAGGAATTAGGGTTACAAATTAATTAGTTAACATAATTTTCTTACTACGACAAAAATAATTAGAGTTTTAATCTATTTACTAATTAAAGACATTCTCCTTTGGGAGATTAAAATTAGAATGATTCAGAAAAAATTAGCATAACCCTTACAAGGTCGAAAAGTATTTCAATTTTCTTATTTTTTTAAAAATACTTCAAGAATTTGTCTTCTATCTGTGTTTTCCTTGTTCCCTACTAAATAATGAAAGAAAACATATATATGAAGTAATTATTATAAAAAATAAATTAATAATTCATTTGTTTTCTGAACGATTCACTTAAAACACAAATATATATTATTTTCTCCGTCTCATTTTTTGTGTCACCAGTTTCTTTTTAGTTACTCTCAAAAACAATGTCACATTTTCTTATATGATAAATATTTAAGGTACAATTTATCTTTTACTTTTGTTGGTCCACTTAATTTTAAAGATAGTACTCTAAATCTCTAATACAATTACCGGAAGAGCGAAAAGTAAGTTTACTTGTTTGAAGGACAATTTAATAAATATTTCAAAATTTTATCTTTCTTAAACTTTATATCCAATTAAATTTTATCACATAAAATAAAATGAAAACAAGTAACAAATTTCAACAAACAAATAAATAAATAAGAAAAAGCACTTTGGGAGTAGTTGACCATGCCTTCCTGTCCTTACATTTTAGCTCCAGAAATCTTTGCTTTAAAAATAAAAGCTAGCTGATTCTGCATTAATTACCTGATTAGATATGATTCTTAATTAAACCTTTTTTTTTTTTTATAATTTCTTCGTCTGTATCTACTTGTTAAATATTTTTTAATTTAATTTCTTTTTTTACTTATTATTTTTTATAAATAAAAAAATATTTTTCTTTTTATTGTTTTCTCAATTTA